AGATGTACATGGTATTTGATGATCCGAGCTGCGCCCTCATGATCTAAAGTGCTTCCAAGAAAGGAAAGCTGTTCTTTTCAACCTTACGGGCAATGTCCCAACCAAAGAATGCCTGGGTCCAAGAAATTCCCACGTAAGGTCGCTCAGTCGACGATACGACAAACACTTAAGCTTGCAAGACTTGTAAGAAGTGCTTCGTTCTTGTTCTTCATCCAACGCCGGAGGTCACTCCGAACTCCAAGAAACCAACTCCGATGCCTCTGAGGCTGCTCCGTCGCCTCGAGGCTCCGCACACACGGACGGGGGTCAATGTAGGCATAGATATTGGCATACATGGAGTGTCTGGGGTATAACACACCGACGGACCTGCGAAGGACCTGCCCAAGCTTTTTGCTACTAGTAGTAATGCCCCTGTTACTAGTAGCTTCTTGTTACTATAGTAGTATGGCCAGGAGCTACTGATAGCTGCCCAAACCGAAAAAAGGAGGAGATCCAGACCTCGGAGTTGCCAGTTTACACACCGTACCATGTTCGACGTGGTTCCAGAGTGTTGGCACTGGCAGCTCCAGGAACCGCGTTCAGCATTGATGTGTTCGGCCCAAAAACACGAGCCCTGTGGGTGAACGGTGAATGCGTATATCACGTGTGACCCTCAAAAAGGCGCAATGGCCTTTATGATGATGGAGCAAAATACAGGCAGTCCTATACAATATAGTATACTTGAAGACCATTTTGCAAAGTTATCATGTCAGATCGAAACATCTTTGAAACGAAACGCGGAAGTACTAGAACCCCGCACCTTCCGTCACCCTCTGCCAAGCGCAGGATGAGATCCTGGAGTGCAGCGCAGGATGAGCGCAGGAGCTTCGAATTCCCTTCTTAAATTAGAACCCTTTTCGTACCTCTGCACGGATGTGCACGGAGGCCAAGATCCTCGGGGATTCTGGGTCCATGAATTTCACACCTCTCGCCGAAGAAATATATCCCCCTCCAAAACGTGCAACATTCGCCACATTCACACTTGTGTGGTCCCGGGACATCATTTGATCTGACAGCTTGATTTCTTCTGGTGTCCCTTCAATGGTTTCCCCATATTTCCCCTTTATTTACCACCTAATTGTCCCATTCCCTCATTTACATAGGGTTGACCAATAGAAAAGCTACAGGCCTGCTTCGTCGGGCTGGCCTACGAAAGCCAGTAGAAACCAGTGAGCAGGTCCTATCATATAAGTATAAGGCAAAAAGCAAGCAAGCAGCACCATGGTACACCAACCGACCGGCAGTACACCAGCAGAACAGCAGTTGCAGACTAGCAGCAGAAATAGCAACACAAAAACAGGAGCAGCAACAAGCAAGGCGGCTCTGATAGGCATCTTCCACAAACACCTTGCTGATGAAAATGATGCCGCCACCATTACTACTTGCATTTTCTACATCACCAACGCCGCCCAAATTGAGCTTTACCGGCAGGTAAAAACACAATGGAGTTTCCACATTATGCATGTACTATATATACTCACTCTCGCACTCATCTCCCCCCACACCCCCCAAATCAGCAGTTCGATGAACGTTTTTCCCAAAAGCATCCCCGATGCTTGGGTTCTCGTTTAGTCGCTAGTGCCACGGAAGAGCGAGACAAAGCGTGCGTTGTCGGGGACGGAAGATCGATAGGTGGACGGGGTTGGGAAGGGAAGAGGGAGGGGAAGGAAGGAGCGAGACGGGAGGACGGGGCTGGGGAAGGAAGATGGAGGGGAGCGAGACGGGAGGTGCATGGGTGGGGACGGGGCTGGGGAGGGAAGATGGAGGGGAGCAAGACGGGAGGCGCACGGGGCTGGGGAGGGAAGATGGAGGGGAGCAAGACGGGAGGCGCATGGGTGGGACGGGGCTGGGGAGGGAAGATGGAAGGGAGCGGGAGGTGCATTGTGCATGGGTGTGGACGGGGCTGGGGAGGGATGAGGAGTGAGACGGGAGGTGTGTGGGTGTGGACGGGGCTTGGGTGTGGACGGAGCTGGGGAGTGCATGGGTGTGGACGCTTGCGCGTCTGATATGCGAGTTACGAGGACATGGCTGCACCACAAGCATCATTGCAGGCTGCTCCGGGTCAGTGCACAAGTAGAACGAAGCATGGGTGGGGGTAGTGCTGCTCCATGCTGCGTCCCGTTGGGAGGTGAGTGGAGCTGTGTGCGCCAGACAGTCAAGTCATGGCCGACACGGCAGGATTGTAAAAGCGCACTGCGTGAAATTGGATGGTATGGTTGGAACGAACCATGGAGGGGGCTGATGCTGCTCCATGCTTCCTGGAACGGTTGTCAGAAGCCATGTTGCAATCGTTTTATGACCGTTTTGGAGGGCTTTCAAAACTGACCAAGGGGTGGACGGGGGTGTATATGACAGGGACGGATGTGCACCAGAACCACGATGCTTGAAATATCATGGTTGCCACGAAGCCTGGAGGGGGCTGATGCTTCGTTTTGGCCTGCTAATGTGTGTCTGTTTATTTTTCCTGGGCTGTGCGCTTCTTTTTGCTTTTGGGTCCACGGGCTCACCTTGTTTCGTCCCTCGTGGGATTCGAACCCTTCCAGGTCCCCGTCTGTCAGCGGCGAATCTCTCTCTCTCTCTCTCTCTCTTCAGGACTCCTAGATCTTCGCGTCTCCCTCGATCGTCGAAGCTGTACCTCGGACCACTGATTCGCACAGCATGGACTCGAATTGTGGGAATCGACTCTCAAGATTCGCAGGAGATCGAAGACAAGAGAAATCACCGATCACAAAGAAAGACATCGATGATGGACGGTATATTTCTATGATGCCTTGACATGCCTTGACATGCTTTGACCCTTTTCATTTGTTCAACCACCCAACTGATCGGGGAGTCATAGGTCAGTCATGGTCAGTCCCATTGAAAGGTCCGGTTGAAAATGACCTCGACAAATGTCTTCGACTTCGGTCCCTCCCTTTGGTCTGGTTGAGCTCCTGTCAGCCAGTCCGAATGAAGAAAGAGTGGCCAGTCCGGCGGAAGCTCCAGCGTTGATTGGCGTGGATCCCGCATTGCTTTGGATCTCACTCTTGGGTGGATGCAAAGAAGTCAGGGAAATCTTTAACAAAAAAAGAACCTAAAAGCAATGGCCTCCAGACCCTAATAGCGATGGCATCTCGATAGTCAGGTGGATGCGAAGAAGTCAGGAAGAGTTTCCCTCGACTTTGGTCAGATCTCCGACACCGAGCGGCGAGCGCAGCGATGGCGACGCTGCTCGACAGCGAGGCGGAGGTTGAGATCCGCACCCCTGCGAGGACAGCGGAAATGCGACGGGGCGGGTGACACCAACAGCCTTCAAGTTTGGGAGGCTACTAGAAGCTAGGGACGCTACTAGAGGCTCCTGGCATCGCTACTAGGAGCAAGGACGCTACTAGGGGCTGCTGGCATCGCTACTAGGAAAAAGGACGCTATACTAGGGGCTCCTGGCATCGCTACTAGGAACAAGGACGCTACTAGGGGCTCCTGGCATCGCTATCCAACAGTGTTTTACCTTTTGAAGGTGAGAAGCCTCCTAAATAGCAGTTTTTGATGAGCTTTGAATGGCCTGGGCCTGACAAAGGCATACCAAACATGGCAGCTCAAAGAAACATTTCAAGGGGTGGACCATGATCAACTCCAAAGCAAAGGACTAGTTTCCGAACATCTAATTGGAAATTCCAGTTGGGGCGTACATCTTTTGTAGAACGGCTTGCCTCATGTCGCAAACAACTTGCATCCCTTCAGCCATCCCAAAAGCACGTGCTTCAACCAAACATCACACCAAAACTGTGAAGGAGACAGGTACAAAGCTTGGAGCAAACCACAGTACAGTCATGCGATGCTGGTTATGCTGATAATTTAAGTTGGAGGCCATTGCTATTAGGTTGGAGGCCATCGCCTTTCGGTTGGAGGCCATCGGCCGACGCTTTGCACCCGACACTTTGGACGCCTCTCCCATGCAGTGGACGTACAGAAACGGCCACCCTCGTTGGTCGAAGGGGGGAACTGCCGTAGACCGAGGCGGCAGCTCCAAGCACTTCCATGGCGCGAGGGCGTGTTTCGGAAAACACACACGTCACTGGGGAGTGCAAAGAACCATAACGAAGCTGCACTACATGTCAAAGCGCATCTGTGTGTGGTTTGTATCCTAGCTATTATTTCCTACTGTTGATGGAAGAGCCTCGAAACCTACAACTCTTAAAGCAGCGAGGTACTTTCCATTTGGACCTCCTGCTGCTGAATGTCTTTCATAGTGAGGCCTGCAACTGCAACCAATCCGGGAATAGCCCGCCCAACGATCTATATCCTAACATGTTTTTTTTGAGAATCGGCAAAACCTCTGGAGGTTATGAATGAGCTTTTAACCTCTCTATATAGAGTTTACCTGAGTTTGCCTGTTTATCCAGCAAAAACTGGCGGAACTAGCAGTCGATGTTTCTTGAAACCAGTGCCCAACCTGCCTGACGTGGGCTGCAAGCCAAAATTACCAAGCGGCTTGGACTGTAAGTCCTGAATCCTGATGAATCCTGATGGTCTAGACCGCTTCTGGCAAGCCAAGAGGAGTCCACTGATTCTTTTGCCGTAAGTTGTAGTTTCAACATGATCCAAAACCCTGGTGCGACAAGCACAACGAGCCCAAATCTCACAGAGCGCACCATTTGCTTCAATCCATGAGCCAATTTCTGCAGGACGCTTTGTATCAACCAATTTGTAGTGCACAAGTCCTTCAGGCCAATGAGTGAACCACCTTCGGTGGAACCACTTTTGGTTTCACCTCGTGGAATCGGAATCGAGGACGGCGGTCGCGTGGTTTGCTCGAGTGACGGGTTTCATAGTTGTTGGGCAATTTGAACACCAAACGCTTCTCCCCGGGCAAAAAGGAAAACAGAAAACAAAAGACAGCTATTTTTGGCCTGGTGCTGGTGCTGGTGCCAGCCGTCAGGCGTCAGACGCGGCGTCCGCCGGTGTCCGCCGTTTCGCCCTGCCTCGGAGAGTTCCTCCAAGAAGTCCTCGCAAAGGGTGGACCGAACGGTCCAGGCTCGGCGCCGCTGGGGGAAAGACACGGGTGTTTTGTCCGTCATTTTAGGCTAACATGGCAGGGTTATGCTGTGGTTTTGAGTCGAAGAATTTGTGACTTCGGGGGAGACACTCTCTCTGTCTCCATTTTAGATTCTTAGATACAAACCAGGTGTGTAACGGTACAGTAGCTGCATCCTTGTAAAGCTCCGACACATGTTTTCAGGAGGTGCACATGTCACTTCCACCCGCTTCCAATATCCTTCAAACGGTCTTGGAAAACCTCGGTTTTGGGGTCCATTGCTCGGTGAGTGAGCTACGTAAGTAGCTTCTTGTTACCCCTAGCGATGCCCTTTGCTACGTTCATAGCTTCTTGTTCCTAGTAGTAATGCCAGGAGCTACGTTCGTAGCTTCTGGTTATCCATCTTGATCAGCACGAGACATGCAGCCCCACAGCCCCACAGGTTCCACGCAGCCCCACCAAACGCACCGGTTCCGCCCCCGGGATCGCGGACCGGATGCGGTCGGAGCAACGGTGTGGTTGGGAGCGGCCTCGGTGGAGTCGCACGAGGCACAGGAGCTCTTCGGATCGATTCGGATACGATTCGAGCGGTGCCACGGCCATGGCCCTGGCCATAGCGGTCTCTGGAACACCTCGATGAAAAAGGAGTGCCTGCTCCAGGTGCTTCGGTGCTTCCGACCACATCTTTTCGGCCAAGCCGTGCTCAAAACTCTCCACTTCTGGGCTCCAAGCGTGCTCAAAGGACCTTGGTCAGCTCGCGTGGACCTCGCCGCAGCTGGGCAAACCAGCGTCCGATTCCAAAGCTTTCCGGTCTCCAATATCGATCAACTGTCAACTGCCAGGCAGTATACAGTAAATGTTCTTTCCCGCCTAATGTCGCTGACCTTCTACCAAATATGACATAATATGACTATATAAAGGTATGTCGAAATGCCTTTCCATGTTTGGTGGGTCAAAGACGCGACCTGACCAGTTCACGACGTGAAACCGGTGGAAGTTCCCCCGCCCCGGTGTCTTCCGAAGCAGAAAGCCACGGTGGAAAGCCATCGTACAAGTACCCTCAAGTACCCCAGGTCCAGATGCACAAGTTATACAATCAAAGCACCTGAAATTCAGCACCTCAAGTCATTGGAGGGGGCTATTGGAGCCCATCGCTCTTATAGAAACAAAGAAAAGTAAAGAAGCCGAAGAAACCTGCGCATGTTCTGGGCTTCCGCACCCCTGCTGCATCTCTGAAGATGTTGCCTTGAAGTGCGGGGAGTGCTGAGAGTCCTTTGAACCTGCGGATGTCTTGCGGCATTCTGCCTGCGGGAACAAAACCAAACCCTTTCAGATGGATCAAGGAACTGACCGGTTTAGTTCCAAATACTGAAGACGAGGACGTAGAACCTTTCTCCTTCCCCAGGTGCAAGATGGTGCAAGAACAAGGCTATTTATGATCTTGTGATCCTCATGAAAACTAGCTCAACGATTTGTTTACAAGAAAAAGAAGCAACAGCTCCGGGTCCCAACTCTGCCCTGACGTAACATCCACGCCCGCAAATTCTTGAGGTGTGCCAACGGTAAACCCCAACGAGCACTTGATCCCCCTTTATGGAACCAACCCCTCCCAAGCACAAAAAGGGATGGAAAAGGCAACAAGATGGCCGAAAACACCAGGTTTCTCGTCAGGCTTCACGTGAAGCAGCACCAGAACTTGGGTCCTGTTCACAACAGATATATAATATAATAAAATCATAATAATATAAATAGTGCCGCAATGCCTTTCATCATCTTTCATCCTACTTCCTCTTGATTGGTATCTCGCCCAAAAAAGCTCACGAGACGTGTGAACTCCAAGCTTGCAGGGGCCTGGCTGCGGACTTGGTTCCTGGCGGCGAGACGAGTGAGAGACTCGTCTCCAATGAGCATGAGGGAGTGGATCATGTGTTCTGTCGCATCCTATAGCTATTAGCTTTCAGGCCATCACTATTAGGTTAGAGGCCATGGCTCTTACTGGATCCACTACGCAAAAAGTGAGCTATAGCTTATGGATCAACAGTCTGATCCGAGTTCCAAGGGTGAGTTCGACGCTCTTTTAGGGTGCTGTGCCCGGGAGGTTGATCCAGTCCTTCCGAACCTGAGGAGGTGGCAGATCCCAAGAGGGATAGTGATTAGCATCGGTCATCCCAAACACCTGCCACGTAAAGAAAAAGAAAGGACAACCATAAACCACATCGAAGGACAGCGATCCACGTGCGTGGTCGGACGAACCCGCGTGGTCGAATGGGCGCGAGTCCACTGGCCTCACATGGCGGTGGGTCATGGCACCAGGAAACCACTAGGTTGGAGGCCATCGCTATTAGGGTGGAGGCATTGCTTCTAGGTTGGAGGCCATCGCTGGTAGGTTGGAGGCCATTGCTATTAGATCTATTCGGTTGGAGGCCACTAGGTCGGATGAATCTACCCTCGTCCCATGGTCGACCACGCGTTCGTCCTGGTCAGGCAGCTGCACCAGGCCTGGCATCGCGGCGAAGGAAGCGGCGAGAATCAAGGCACCCTCCTCTTGGACAGAAACTACATCTGGTTCGTACCAAACACAACAGACTTTTTGGCGCATAAACAGGTGCACAATCCTCTGTAACAGTGCGTTCGTTCCTGGCCGTGAAGGTGCGTGCAAATGTTCATGGCCAAACCTGGAAAAAGGGACTGGCAATTCCGGTGGTCTATTCCGGTTATCACCGCTCTCAGCGGTTGTACCTACACCCGTACACATTGCAAAGTCCTCTTGCCACGGGTCGCCCAAGAAGACTCGACTTAGCAATCTGAAAGAAGCTCCCTGTCGAAGCTCTCTGTGGGTCACGGGTCCCTGATGGTCCCTGGTCCCGGAAGTCTTCCAAGCAGCACGAATGATCCAAACGGATAAAAAACAAATCACATGCCGCTAAAGGCCGAAGAGAAAATCCCGTTTGGCGTGCTTCCCTTCCCCTTCCCCACCACAAGGCGTTGGCGCTTTTTCGTCGACGCTTTCTTCCGCTCCGCTACATTCCGCGGCCCTCTGGGCCGACTGAAACGAGTCGAAAAATGGCACCCTCAGTGTCTCAAAGAAAGACTCGAGTGGTGAAGCTCCATGGTTTGGGTGGGCCTTTGGGGAGGTGTTGTTGATCTGGAAATTCCACAGCCTTGTTCAGGAGAGTGTCCAAAATCCAGTTTCACGGCAAAGCTAAGGAGACTCAACTCCAGCTCAGAGATCGGAAGTTCATGATGTCTTCCAAGAAAAGATATCCCTTCAAATGCGCACTGGGCATGCCGCCTGAGCGCCAAAGTACAGATAGTAAAGCATGTAAAAACATGTGGTCTTGATGAAGTTTCGCCTGATCTCGGGTCTAGTTACACTACAGATGGTCAGTTGCAGTCGACGACGACCCATGCTCGCACCAAGACGCTATAGTGATGCTGTATTTTGTGGATGCTGTGAGTTGAAAGCAAACGGGATCGAAAAAGGGGCTCTAGAGCGCTCCATGTCTCCCCAAACCGTTGTCTGTCCATCTCTTCCATTGGAACATGTCAAAACTGGCCACTTCGCACTTCAAGGCTGTCTTGTGGTGTCGAGAGTCGTGTGGACAGCACAATTCAAGACCGCATGGTATGGATTCGACCTGGCGCCCCCCCAAAGAATGGCAAGCAGTTTTGGGTTGTTGCAAGGGCTCCTCTGAGTGGTTGATATTGAACTTGATATTCCAACTGCTTGGATCGTCATTGAAGCCCTCTGCAGGGGACCTTTGGTCCACCACAAACCGAATCCGCCGACGGTCGACGATGAATGTGAGCGTGAGCGGGACGGGACAGTTCTACCTCTCCACGAAGACCCCTTGTTGAACCAAGCAGCTCAGATGCGGAGATCCTCGCTATGCTCAAGCTTTGGAGCAAAGATGCCTGAGCAAATCAGGAAGAGACTGAGATGTGCTTTTTTCATGAATTCATAGCTACTATAGGAACAAGTGCATCGCTACTAGTAACAAGTGCATTACTAGTACTAGTAGCAAATAGCTACGTTCGTACCATCTTGCTACTAGTAGCGATGCCCTTCAGCAACATGATGGGGCCCTGTGGGACCAAAACTTGAATCACGATCCACGTCGCCTGAGAAAGCATCGATCCTTTCCAAAACTGGGCGAACAAAAAGGTCCTCCAGACTAGGGAAGTGACAGGACGTGAAGAAGAGTTCCAGGGATCAAGCCGTCATCACTTTCGCAGTGCATTTACATGAGCGCTTCTGAATACTTCGACGGATTCGTATCATTGTGCGTTGCGCTTACGTGCTTACGCCGAAGCTAGTAACACGGGCATCGCTACTGGGAGCAAAGCGCACTACTACTAGTAGCTATAGAAGCTAATAGTAGTGCTAATAGTAGCTTCTAGCTACTAGTAGTAATGTCCGGGTAGTAGCGATGCCCTTGTTACGCTCATAGCAAAGGTTCTTTACGTCAACGGAACTCGCTCCAGAGCTCCGGCACTTCCGCTCGGTCGTCGGGTCGTCGTTGGATCCGGCCACCCCGGTGACGCCGGGCCACGAGGCTGCTTTCGGATGTACTCCTCACTGACCTGAGACGGTCGGAATCCGAGCATATTGCGGCATGGTCAGAGCATGCTCTGCGGCTGAGCCACTGAAATTCAGGCCGGTAAAAGGCACAAACCCTGTTCTTCCTCCGAATTTGCTTTCAAGTCTCCGGGCCGATATGAAACACAAGGCTGTTTTGGATGGCACACGAAACATCATGAAACCATGGCACACACGGGCTACATGTCCTCCCCTGAAAGAAGAACTGTATGTTCACACTATGTATACCTATATATCCTATGTTCATCGTTTTTGTTCACGAGAACATGAACACATATATGAACACCATGAGAACAAGGGAATTCTGATGATGAAGACCCAAGGCCTTGCTCCCTCAAGAATCATCACAACCGCTCACGCCAAGAAGATCCATTTGGCATCCACTCGATTAGACTTGGACAGAAGGTGTCGCGGGTGTGACGAAGTACGTACAACCTTCATTTTAGAAAAGTGTACCATAGAGACCTACCAAAAGAAGGGGTCCGGACACTCAAAACCTGTGTTGGTTTGGGCCCGGATTCTTTGACGTAGATCCATTTAGCACCCGCATAGCCTCAAACGAGAGGAATCTTGGTGCATATGCTGGCCCCCCGAACTCTTGATCGACCACTTCTCCTGCAAAACCCTGAGGAATGGAGGAACGAGGACTCTCCGCTTTGGATGGGAAGCGGGAAGAGTGTGATCTTCAAGCGAGCTGCCCAGATGCTCTTCATCGAATAGACCTCCAAATCCATCGTGGTGGCCTGCTCGACCAGTCATTCTCTGGACGGGTAACCCGTCAGGCGTCGTGTCTTCTCGACTCGGTGTGGATGACCAATGACCGGAACACCCGAAAGGCGTGTGGGCCTTGCACAGCCACTGGCGACACAGCATGTTGGATGCCATGTTCCTTCTTTTCTTGGCGACACAGCCACCAGCAAGATCCAAGAGGTTCCTTCTTCATAATATGCTGTTCTTTATGACCATATATGGTCTTAATGTGTCCAAATATGGTCACCAACAGCCATCATGGGCAAGGATTGTGTCGTGAACTGGCTCACTTTTCTGTAAAGGCTGTGTCGTCATTGTGTCGATCTCACACCGGACTCTCCCGAACACTTGCTCTCATCCCAGCGGTCCGCGGCGACGAGCGTCAGCCGCGCAGGTGTAACCAGCCACCAATAGCTATAATGTGCCATATATGCACCAGCCACCAACCAACCACATCCACCACCAGTAGCAAGATCCATGCATCATGACGTCAACCAACCAACCGCTGGCAGTTTTGGAATGACCCTGTGACGATCACCACAACAGTCACCGTCCCAACACGATGCACACGGAGGAAGCCGATCGGCGGCCGCGGCCGGTCCCCGCGCCACGGTGGAAGTGATGTGGAGCTCCGTGGACAAGGGTGGCGGCTTGGGAACGGTGACAGCACGGCGACCATTCTGGAAGTAGACCTGGAGGTGGCGGCGACCAGTCGCCCGGGTGGTTACCCGGTGGTGGCAAGGCTTGTAGCGTCATTCTTGGCAGGGCATGCATGGATGGAAACCGAAACAAGCGATATCCACGTCTTCTCCGACGCAGAGCTTGATAACTCTGAGCTACGAGCTACCCGCTTGATCGGTCTTTCGCTGGTTCAGTTCGCGCCTCCAGGAACGTGGCATCTGCGAAGAGCCGCAGCTCCAGGTGGGTCTCCGTACGCAGCAAGCGCAAGGTGTCCTCAGCATCCGGGGGAAGAACCGGGACCTGGGATCACAGTGACGGGTTGACTCAAGGAAACGGTTGACAAGCCCATGTGTTAGGCAGTGGTTGACATCATCGTGTTACAAAATTACATCATCGCTAGTTAGTATAACTAGTAAAAAAGGCCATCACTACGAACGGAGCGTTCGGACGCTACGTTCGGGCCGCTCCTGGCCTTACTAGTCGCAAGGTTCGCTACGAACGGAACAAACGTTCGACGTTCGGTGGCCACACGTCGTTGCCCTTCCGAGAAGCCCTCCGGTCTCCACAGGTGAAGGACATGTCTCCGAAGTCGCCGGTGACCGGCTCGTAAAAGACCTCTGCTTGTCACGGGATCGGATCAGTCGAAAAGGGAGCACGGGAGCGTCTGGCTCGGCATCCAGCTCTATACCGCTGCTTGGTAGGTCCTATCAGCCCGTGGGACGATCTGGCATAGCAGAATCATCGTCAACGAAGCACGCAGCGATGAATTCAATCAGTGCAACCTCCAAGAGTTAGAATCCTAAGACACCCCAAAGGGCACAGCATTCGATGCTGCAGGACGTCGTTGATCATAGCGGCAAACAAGCACAGCTGAGAACAGGAGCTGCCAGCAGTCACGTTGACTCGAGATCACCAAAAGCATCTAAAACGCATGCGCACGGAGAGAAAAAGTCATTGTCATAATATTATGATGCAACAATTCACCACACGCACGGCCCCCCAATATGACTTTCTGCGACTCAATACGACTAAAGTGACTAAAGCCGGTCTGTCTGAACCGGAAAGCATGTGCATGGCAATATAAGGCCATGTTTTCAATGTTTTTGATGCGAATCTCCACAACCTTCAGAATAGGAAAGAGTGGGTACTTGGAAAGGATGAAATGCCGTGAAGTGATGTGAATCTCCTGCAGTTTCTTTGTCCGACCGATGTCACCCGAACAAACCGATGCAACGACTCTACCCGTCACTTGGCACAATCGAAACCGATGCAAAGGTTCCAGGTTCAGAAGTGGATCCCACGCGATGACCCATCCATACAAAGAAGTATAGTATAATAGCTTATATATATATAGTAGCAGTGATTACCTACACCTTCTCATGTTTGAGCTCGCAATTTGGATATATTTCAACCTTCCCCAAACGCAGCACATACACAGCACGCACACACAGAGAGATCCAAATGCGCC